GGTATCGTTCCTTTTCAGGTCAAGATAACGGGTACGGTTTCGGTTTCGGTTTTGAAAAACGAAACGGTTTTAAACGGTTACGGTTTCGGTTTGGGTTTCGGTTTCATTCCTTGGTTTTTACTCAGACCGATGAAATGATTTCGTGAATTGGGCTACGCATACATGTGATACTTATGCTTTTAATTTATAAGGTAATTTTATGTTTTTATACTCTTGCTACCACATGAATATATGAATTCGTGATAAGAATATATGAATTCGCCTTGGAACATAGAAAGCGAGTAAGATAAATGCCGAACAAAGGAATTTGTCTTCTTTCAACTTAAATAAATGCATTTTGCAAACAAAAGTGCGTACGTTACTTAGTGCCTTGGTAATGGCGAATTCGTAAGGATCTATTGGTTACATTATAAACATTTTCATTTATTTGTTAAACATACAATTACTTCCATTACAACCCGGTCCTGTGGATGCTAGAAGCGCGAATTCATATAAGGTGGTGTTACAGGAAAATGAATAAATAAATTATATGTATATCTGAAAATGAATAAGATGAAATGAAATTATTGTTTGATTTCTGACCAAACCTATGTATGTTACTCAATCGCCTAATGGTTTGCCGAACCGTAAACATATGTTTACACATCCAATTTCGTTAGTAGGTACCTGGTACTCACGCCTTTTTTAAGAAGTTTCACTTCTATAAAGTGTACGGTGTTACACACGCATTTTTATTTTTTTATAAATCAATAACATATTTTTAATATAATTTTTTTTTTATACGACATTTGCAAAATATTGCCTATTGGCACCAGGAATCATTTTTTGCTCTCCTGAAAAGTTATAAAAAAAAACACACAACTGTTTTTGTTGGCGCAGCAACGATATGTATCCACAAAGTACTTTCCTGTTTTTAGGATATGGCTTTCAATTTTGGTATGCCGGGTATCTGATAGAATACTAGCCGAACATATAAAAAGTGCATTTTACACTGATGTTGACGATATGAGGCTTTTGCGTTTTTGGGAGGTACTCACCAGCCTTTAAGTATTGAAAAAAAACTTACCTTAAACAGAATTTTATAGTAGCCAATATCTTCAAAAGATAATTTAAGCGAGCTGGAAATAATTTCTTCTATGTTATCCGGCCCTTGGACAGAAGAGGATAACAATCCAGTAACGACTGAGGAAGTATAATAGTTATAAACCAAAACGGAAAAAACGAATACTGAAAAAAGTAGTATTCTTATTGGTTGCCATCTTGATATTGGATTCATACCCTGCTGAGAAAACGCGGCAATCAAAATTAATAGCATATTCATTAAGCTGGTGTGATCCCTTGGCTATGTTTTTTTTTGAATTTGGTACTTAAATAATTTTATTTTACGCCGAGTATATAATGAATCCAAATCAAACTGTTGCCAAAATTGTTTGTGTAGTAAATGTTTTCTTTTTTTCTGTCGTATTTTTATGCTATCTAAAAGCCAAAATATTAAGGTTATTGTTATGATAGACCATGCCAAAACAATCCAAACATGTCTTTGAAATGGTAACAGAAAGCTTTGAGCGTCGACGTGGATACTTAAGGTCGGTACAAAGCGATATAAAAATGCAGTTTCAAATTTCCAGCCTTGGTGTATAATGTCAAACTCCGCGAAGCGATTAATTCGATTAAATACTCCTGTTGCCCCTATGTCAGCTTCATTCCGAGCCATAATGCCTAGAAATCCAAGCCTAAACGTTGTATTATTCAAATGTCCTGCCCAGCCCCTTGCAACACGAAATTCGATGGTGAAGTTGATGTACTCTTTTAAAATTTGAACGAGCTCGAAATAATATTTTGTAAAAGCGGAAATACCTATATGCTTTGCAGGTTCGGATAGTAGTACACTTACTTCAGCGGTGCTTGTTACATTATCTATGTCAATCTGTGCGGAATAAATAAGAAAACAAAACTATTACAAACAATATTTAATTCGGTTTATTACTATTTATTTATTTGTTTATTCAGTCTACAAGTTATACCTATAGACTATTTCTAATTAAAAACAGTAAATAAATTTAATTTAAATTTAGATAAAGTGACAGTAAAATCTATTTGGTGCGCATAATTGTTACTTTTTTGTAACTCATTTATTTTATTGCGCTTTGTTTTTTTAACAATAAGCAATACTTGAATCTGAAACACTAAATAAAAAAATAATCATAATACTAGAGACTTAAATACTAAATAAGAAAATAATCATGTATGGAGTACACCCAGTTTCGCAACCATATGCTATTCCCAGCTATTCAATGTTATTAGTAGGGCCACCAAAAATATGCTCGAGCATGTCTTTTTATACTTTATCACAAAATACATAAAAAGGAAATGGTAATTGTAAAGATATAAGCGTTTTAGCCATATTTGTTAGAGCATATTTCGGCATGTTTCGTAATGAATGCATTTTTTTAATTTTTTAGAAATAAATGCTAAATTTAGTGCATATTCAAAAAAAAATCACTTTTTTTAATTGTAGGGCCTATGTTAATTAATAGAAACGTACTCTGGATGGTAAATTTTTGACCACTGTGAGGCTTGTGTGGTGTATTTCGCTATTAGCAAAAATAAGCAAGTGGAAATCAGAGTTGCATCCAGATAAAATTGCCACTTTTTCCTCCACTTTTAAGAAATTTCTGAGGACAACATTGCGAGCTCTTATGCGGGGTTATAAAGAATGTTGAATTAAAAATTTTTATTAAGAGAGCTGAAGAAAAATTAAACGCTGTACAAGTTTTAACTGGTAGCAATTAGCTAAAATCAGTTTTTAGCAAAAAACACGGCTTTGATGTATTAAAAAGTATTGTAGGCCAGATTGAATCCGATAATTCAATTCATCCGAGTGAAAAATATATAGTGACTGAAATTTCTGCGTTTAAGTTCGTGCCTTCCCCATGTTTCAGAATATCTTCCGCGATAACAGGCAATCATTTCTTTTTTAAAATGTATCCGAATATTTTGTTATTTATTGCAACAAAAATATTTAAGTTAAATTTGCATTTTTATTTCTATACATATGTAAGTAAATACGCTCTGAATGTGTAATATTTTACTTTTACCAGTGTTTTTGTACATTTCTGAATAAAATCCAATAGATTTTTACATAAGAAAAATTGAGCTATTTATTGAAGTGAAACTTCTTAGGCGGCGGTATCGCAAAAATGGAGAGCGAAATTTTTAAAGCTGAAAACGTTACATGAGTGAGAAGGAAGATGTAGGTAGTATAGGGAAGGGGAAAAAAGAAATAAAGCGACGCATGACGGGTACGAGTACCTACATATGTATACGTTTGAATGCACGTATGTATGTATACATATATATGTATGTATGAACGAACTCATTGCGCATTTCAGCTCTGCCGCTACCAAGCAATATATGTATAAATGATGCAAGCGTGCTTCGCGTAACTACATTCATTCGCAAGAATGATAGAATACAAAATTGCGCCGATTGTAGCAGAATTCGTGAGAGTTAGGCTTTCTGCACATTGGTCGTCCAATCAAAGTTGCTTCTTCGTCACAATCATGATGCAACGATTACATGACGACTACACTTTCGCACACTCGGCCGTGATATTTTAACTCATTTGGCGTCTAAAAATTCACTTGGAGCAGTTATTTTCTGTGTTTCTGGTTGATATTTTCGCGAAATATTTGCAAAAACCTGCAATTTTTAAAATATAGACTGTGCTGCAACAATTCTAGACATAATTTTTCAGTAATATCTCTTCTTTTCTTTTCCTGAAATGTGTTTTGTGCGTGCACACAGAGACTTTTTAAAATTTCGTCATATTTTATAGTTAAAACGCTCACATTTATTGATTTTTAATGCAGTTATCCACTTTTTAATAATTTCCACAGATTTTATGCAAAAAATACGAATTTTTATGCAATTTTAATACAAATATTAACTTTGTCACTAATTTTTCCCCATAAAATGTAAACAAACAATGCGCGCACACCGATTAGCAAATGACAGTGCCGTACTTATCCGTTTCTGCATCTTCTACGATTTGCCGATAACGAAAAGTGTGCAGATCTCCTTTGAAATGCATATGCTCGTCGAGACCATAACGCAGCTATGATTGGACGAAAAGTGTGCAGATAGCCTAATTTTGGCCTGACGTCATCGTAGAGTTGACAACTGAGAGCGGCGAGAATAAGGGCGATTAGTGATGTGCTGAATTGTCGGTACCCAATACTCGGAACCCATCTAACCAGTTAGCGATAACTTTCGGATCGATATCGCACTTCTTGGCGTACAAATATTTCATATCATGCGTCAACAAAACCGATACCGATTCAAAAATTGACGCTAACTGGTTATAGAATCTGCCCCTAGGCCTATAAAAATGATATCGTCCGATTCAGCTGGAACAAAAACGCTTCAAACAAGTAAGAGTTTCTCTGCGNCATTCATTCGCAAGAATGATAGAATACAAAATTGCGCCGATTGTAGCAGAATTCGTGAGAGTTAGGCTTTCTGCACATTGGTCGTCCAATCAAAGTTGCTTCTTCGTCACAATCATGATGCAACGATTACATGACGACTACACTTTCGCACACTCGGCCGTGATATTTTAACTCATTTGGCGTCTAAAAATTCACTTGGAGCAGTTATTTTCTGTGTTTCTGGTTGATATTTTCGCGAAATATTTGCAAAAACCTGCAATTTTTAAAATATAGACTGTGCTGCAACAATTCTAGACATAATTTTTCAGTAATATCTCTTCTTTTCTTTTCCTGAAATGTGTTTTGTGCGTGCACACAGAGACTTTTTAAAATTTCGTCATATTTTATAGTTAAAACGCTCACATTTATTGATTTTTAATGCAGTTATCCACTTTTTAATAATTTCCACAGATTTTATGCAAAAAATACGAATTTTTATGCAATTTTAATACAAATATTAACTTTGTCACTAATTTTTCCCCATAAAATGTAAACAAACAATGCGCGCACACCGATTAGCAAATGACAGTGCCGTACTTATCCGTTTCTGCATCTTCTACGATTTGCCGATAACGAAAAGTGTGCAGATCTCCTTTGAAATGCATATGCTCGTCGAGACCATAACGCAGCTATGATTGGACGAAAAGTGTGCAGATAGCCTAATTTTGGCCTGACGTCATCGTAGAGTTGACAACTGAGAGCGGCGAGAATAAGGGCGATTAGTGATGTGCTGAATTGTCGGTACCCAATACTCGGAACCCATCTAACCAGTTAGCGATAACTTTCGGATCGATATCGCACTTCTTGGCGTACAAATATTTCATATCATGCGTCAACAAAACCGATACCGATTCAAAAATTGACGCTAACTGGTTATAGAATCTGCCCCTAGGCCTATAAAAATGATATCGTCCGATTCAGCTGGAACAAAAACGCTTCAAACAAGTAAGAGTTTCTCTGCGTTATGGCCTCGAACTGACATATATACATCTTTCATTTGAATCAGTATTAAAAGCTCTATTGGCTCCTACATTGGGTTTTGATAGGCGAGTCTCCCCTGAGCCGTTTCTCCATATCTTTGGCCTGTGTGCGCTTTTATTCGAAATTTAAATGTTTCGGTACCGAGTATCGAGAGAATTGGAAACTTAAAAGTATTGACTCGGCACATCACTATTGCTATCATCTCGACTGTGACGTCAGCAAAACAGCTGATTCTGTCAAATTCACTGAGATCCGATTAGCGGTGTTGCGATCGGCGCCACCTTCTGTATTCTCTCCACCGTGATTCATTCGTACATGTGTACATATGTTTGTATGGATATATTTATGATGAAGCAAACGGGCTTCGTTGATGTTTTTTTTTTTTTTACGAGGAGGAAGCATCGAAAGCCTAACCCCGTCAGTGTGAGACTTTAACCCAAACTAAACCTCCTACCGTCATGTACCGTTCCCCTCCCGGTACCACCGTCAAGTATTTCGTCGGGAGGTGGGTTGAGCACGAAGCTTTACGTTCGTTGCAGTCCTGATGCAGTCCGTTGAAAGTTGCATCAACTTGGAGCCGTCCTTTGTCTTCGAAAAAGCAACCACCCTTGTCGGGTCCATGCGTCCCCGCCCGCCATGTTTCGTCCGTNTCTTTTCCTGAAATGTGTTTTGTGCGTGCACACAGAGACTTTTTAAAATTTCGTCATATTTTATAGTTAAAACGCTCACATTTATTGATTTTTAATGCAGTTATCCACTTTTTAATAATTTCCACAGATTTTATGCAAAAAATACGAATTTTTATGCAATTTTAATANCGTCCGTCTATTATGTAACGCCTCTGCTTATCTTCATGCCTCAGCAGCTAGTGCCTCGACCAAATATCGCGCCTGGTGGTAGATATTTCATGTGGGCGTAGTTATGTGTCGTCCATTTCGACGCTGCTCATCTCTTCTCAGATGGGTCAAAATGTGCGTGACTGCATTATTCACCGCTTCCCATTTTCCAACGGATTCTATCATGTGAACTACCATGTTTTTAGGTGTGGGGTGTTCTTCAAATACAGAGCGAATGTGGTTTCTATCCAGATCGAATCTCGGGCAGTGAAACAAAACATGTTCGACGTCTTCGATAACGCCATCACCACACGCTTCGCAATGGTCAAGCTCTTCGTGTTTGAAGCGTTTCAGGTACGATCTAAAGCAGCCGTGGCCGGTGAGCATCTGGGTTAAATGGAAGTTAACTTCGTCGTGCGGGCGGGAGATCCATTTTTCGATGTTTGGTATTAGTCGTTGTGTCCAGCGTCCGTTGGACGATTCGTCCCATTTCTTCTGCCACATCTCTAGCGTGTGTTTACGGGCTAGTGCTTTCCTAGCAGGAAGTGTTAGATTGCTAGGTGTATTCATTGACAGTTCTTTCGCCAGAAGCTGTATTGGGTTTCGTTGATGTACTGATGGGCATATGTATATACTTATGCACAGCAAGCTTTCATGTATGTACATATGTTTGAATGGTTAAATATATATTTGTATGTATGTACATATATTTGTGTATGTACATATGTTTGTGTACATGTATATATGCACATATGTAGTACAAACGAAAAAAATCAAATAAGCTGCTCGTTGATATAAATGCGAACTGTACTGATTGTCAAAAATTATGTGTTGGTTGTACATTTGTTCATGTTTGTCATTGTGCGTGTAATTTTCTAGAGTAGTTTTGTGCTCTCGCTATATCCTTGTATTAACTCGTCCTTCGTTGGTACACTCTGATGAACATATGTGAGGCTGATAGCAAGGCCAACTTATATAAGGTAGTGTTACAGGAGCAGTTGAAATTTTCGCCCGATGTTTCTTAAAGAAAGCCATAAACGTAGCGCCCGTTGGTTCAACTTGGTGTTGTTTTGCTCTAGATTGCACCGTTTGTGGGCCTGTTGAATGAATTTATGTCTTGGTTGATTGAAAGATCAAAAAATTTTGATTTTCTGACAAGTTGTACAACTTATCGCTACATTAATGGCCATGTTGCACAAACTCATTTAATTTGCGTTTATTTTGGACACTAAATAACCGAAAATGGATAACTCAGCCGAAATAGGTACGTGCTTTCGTTGAATTTTATAAGTGTAAGCCGAAACTATGAAATTGTAGAAATGAGATTGCCCGCAAAGTTGCAATGTTTGTGGGCAAAACGGCCAAATTGATTGCGGATTGATTTGAACCAACGCTTTCGGCTTGCATTATGTCAAGTTTATGCACTTAGTTTTTACTCAGATCGATGAAATGATTTCGTGAATTGGACTACGCATACACTTGATACTGATGCTTTTAATGTATAAGGTAATTTTATGTTTTTAAACTCTTGCTACCACATGAATATATGATTTCGTGATAAGAATATATGAATTCGTCTTGGTAGATAGAAAGCGAGTAAGAATAAATGCCGAACAAAGGAACTTGTCTTCTTTCAACTTAAATAAATGCATTTTGCAAAAAAAANGTTTTTACTCAGATCGATGAAATGATTTCGTGAATTGGACTACGCATACACTTGATACTGATGCTTTTAATGTATAAGGTAATTTTATGTTTTTAAACTCTTGCTACCACATGAATATATGATTTCGTGATAAGAATATATGAATTCGTCTTGGTAGATAGAAAGCGAGTAAGAATAAATGCCGAACAAAGGAACTTGTCTTCTTTCAACTTAAATAAATGCATTTTGCAAAAAAAATGCGTACGTTACTTAGTGGCTTGGTAATGGCGAATTCGTAAGGATCTATTGGTTACATTATAAACATTTTCATTTATTTGTTAAACATACAATTACTTCCATTACAACCCGGTCCTATGGATGGTAGAAGCGCGAATTCATATGTATAAGGTGGTGTTACCGGAAAATGAAGATGAAATGAAATTATTGTTTGATTTCTAACCGAACCTATGTATGTAATCAATCGCCTAATGGTTTGCCGATCCGTAAACATATGTTTTTACATAAAATATCGTGAGTAGGTACCTGGTACTCACACCTTTTTTAAGAAGTTTCACTTCTATCATGTGTACGGTGTTACACACGCTTTTTTTTAATGCATATTTTAAGCACGTTTCGTTCGTGCATATTTGATGCACATTTCTTATTTTATCGTGCATATTTTACGCGATTAAAATCATGTTTTTACGGCATATTTTTGTTTGCCCTACTTATTAGAGATCTAATATTGATTTTCTTTTATGTCGCTGGAATGATATTGTATGTGAAGTGAGTGTAGAAATAAAAGGACTTGGGTGATTATGCATTTTTTGTTGGTGCGCAAAGGTGTGATTTTTAATTTTGGAAGGAACAGTAGAGATTTTAAAGTCACGATGTATTTGGTTGTTTGTGACATAGAGCGGAGCGTTCACAATCACTCTAAGGGCTTTTGATTGGAATCTTTGGAATATTTCTATATTGGAGGTTGCTGCAGAGCCCCATAATTGTACTTCGTATGTCCATTCTGGTTTTAAAACAGATGAATATAGTAAGAGCATACTCTCGAGTGAGACTTGAGATTTCGGGTTCAGTAGCCTATGTAAATTTTTGAGCTTCATTTTCAGTGCTTTGCGTTTAAGTTTTCCACGTAAGCTTGCAGTGGAGGGGCATGCCTAAGTATGTTGTCGCATCACGCTGTGGAAAACCCACGTTATTGAGTTTTACGGGCGGGAATGTTTTACGTTTAAGGGAAACTTTTTTCCCATTTGGCTCAATCTTTTCTAATAATCTTTCAGCCATTGTGTTTTTGTTTCGGCCATTTTGGAGTTTAAGCGAAGAGAGTTGTAGAAGGGTGTCCATTGTGAGAATTGCAGTATCGTCTGCAAATGTGCCAACAACTGCTCCTCCTTGTTCTTCTTCTTATTTGGCTCTGTAAAAGCCTCAGCGATTTTGGCCGAGTTCAGCAAAGCACGCCAGTTCTCTACCAACTGACCGCAATTGAAAACGCCAAGTGAAGCAAAGTCCTTCTACACCTGATCTTTCCATCGCAGTGGAGGCCTCCCACTTACTCTGCTACCACCAGTGGGTTCCGAGTTGAATACTATCAGAGCTGAATCCTCGCTGTCCATTCGAATCAAATGGCCAAGCCAGCGGAGCCGCTGTATTTTCATTCGCTGCATAATGTCCATGTCGTTGTAAAGCTCATACAGCTCAGCGTTCCATCGAAAAATCTTTCTCTCGAATACTCCAAGAGCCGCCTCATCGGATGTTGTCATTGTCCATGCTTCTGCGCCATATACCAGCACGGGCATGATGACTCTTATAGAGTGTGGTTTTCGTACGAGGAGAGAGGACTTTAATCCTGAATTGCCTACTCAGTCCAAAGTAGCAAGTAAACAAAGTTCTCTACTTTCTCGAAATTGTAACTGTCAACAATGACGTGGTTGCCGAGGCGCGAATGTGCTAACTGTTTGTTTGATGACAAGAGATACTTCGCCTTGTCCTTGTTTACCACCACACCCATTCGCTTTTCTTCTTATCCAACTTGGAAAAGGCAGAACAGACTTCGTGGTGTTTGTCACCGATGATGTCGATGTCATCGGCATAAGCGGTTCAATTCTGCAGCTCTTATTATCTTCTTCAACATCAGATTAAAGAAGTCACATGGAAGGGAGTCGCCCTGTCTGAATTCCGTTTGGTGGCGAACGGCTCGGATAGGTCTTTCCCATTTCTGAGGGAGCTGGTGGTATTGCTCAACGTCATTTTACGCAGCCGTGTGAGTTTAGAGAGGATGCCAAATTCAGACATAGCGGCGTACAGGTAACTCTTTTTAGTTCTGTCGAAAGCGTCTTTAAAGTCGACAAATAGGTAATGACTTTAGATCCTTTCCTCGTCTTTTCGTAGGGTCTTTTTCAAGATTTGGGGTATTGTGAATACCTGCTCTATGCTGGATCTTCCAGGTCTAGAGCCACACGGATAAGGCCCAATCAGTTCATTGACGGTGGACTTCAATCTTTCACACAATACGCTCGATAAGACCTTGTAATCTATGCTTAAAAGGCTGATCCCGCGGTAGTTGGCGCGGATGGTGGGGTCTCCTTTCTTGTGGATTGGGCACAGCACACTTAAATTCCAGTCGTCGGGCATGCGTTCATCTGACCATATTCTGCACAAGAGTTGATGCATGCACCTTATCAACTCCTCGCCGCCGTACTTGAGTAGCTCAGCTGGCAGGCTGTCAGTTCCAGCAACTTTGTTGTTTTTCAGCCGCGTTATTGCTACTCGTACCTCGTCATAGTCAGGCGGTGGAACGTCGACTCCGTCATCCTCTCCTGCAGGCTCGGGTTCTTCGTCTCCACAACTTTCCATGCTGCTACCATTTAGTAGGGCGCAAAAGTGTTCCCTCCATAATTTAGTTATGCTCTGGACATCGGTTACTAGGTCACCATTGTTGTTCTTACAGGAGTACGCCCTGGTCTTGAAACCTTCCGTAAGTCGCCTAACTCTCTGGTAAAATTTCCGGGCATTTTTTCTGTCGGCCAGCATTTCAAGCTCTTCGCACTGACGTACTTCAGCCTCTCTCTTCTTATTGCGGCAAATACGTCGCGCTTCCCTTTTCATATCCCTATAGCGGTCCCATATAGCGCGCGTTGCACCCGGTCGCAGCGTGGCCCTGTAGGCGGCATCGTTTTTCTCTGCAGCTTCCTGACCGTACCAGTTGTTCTTTCGGGCTCGCTGAAATCTGACTACTTCTTCGGCGGCGGTTCTTAATGAGTGAGAAATGTGGTTCCACTGCTTGCATATGTCGGTTTATTGAAAAGTGCTCTCTGAGAGCAGGGGTAAGAGTCGAGTACGACTGTCTGTTGTAATTGTAGCTTTTCGAATTTGAGCTTGATTTGCAATTGCTCTTTCGGGCGGTGGTAAATCATATGTGAATAGCAGGTAAAGATGAGACCCATCATACGGCCTTGAGGTACTCCAGCTGAACCTTCGTAGAGTTCAGACTGCTCCTCGCCTTGCTTTCTTTGAGAGAGGACTTTATAAAGATATAGTAGTTGATCGGGAGGGACTCTTTATTTTTTAAAGTAAGCCGTCATGACATACTCGATTGAAAGCTTGAGATATATCGAGGAATGCAGCTATACAATACTTTTTGTGTTTGAATACAGTGTGAATGCAGTTTAAAGGCCCTTGAACTTGTTCGATTGTGCTGTGTTGTTTTCTGAAACCGAATTGGTGATAAGGGATAATCTTTTTTTGTTATATTACTGGCATCAATCTTTTTAGAAAAAGCGTTACCAGAATTTTAGAGGCGATCGGTAGCAAACTGATTGGGCGGTACGACTCAACTTTGTCTGGACTTTTTCCTGGTTTAGGAATCATTTTTACCTGTGAAACTTTCTATTGAGGTGGAACGAAACCATATGAG